CATTTAATATTACTTTTGGTTTCACAGATTTTGCTGCATTAACTGAAATGATGAGGAGGAAGAAACAATATTTTTTTCAGATGAAAGTGATGACAGGACATTGCTTTTCTCAACAGAGTTTTGGAGAAAGATTAACTCTTTCATAAGAAATGTTTGGAATTTTGTTTTTGTCAGGCACACATGGAAACCCATCACCATGTTTAAGAGTATCCACACCATATATATGCCATCAATACACAGAAATTTCTCTGTGTCTGGAATGGAATGCTCACTCTCTCCCTGTAGGGGTGCACCCTGTTAACTTAATTCCAGAGAGTATTAGGCACAAGTTGGCGAGAGCCGAGGGTTTGGAATCCCCAAGTGTGGCTGGCATACTGCTAAAGTTCAAACAGCTAAAAGCACATAGACATTGAAAGCACTGTCTGGCATGCTTCTTGCCGTTTGCCAGAACCAGCTTATCCATTAGGGCTTTAGCAGGCAAATTTAATGGGAACCCAGTGGGAAGAATCCCTGCTCCCTGTGACTGGTCTGCCCCTCTAAGTCATGCCAATGAGGCAAGTTGGCTGGCCTGATCATTACTGCAGACTTGTCTGGTTCAGAAACCGCACTACCAAGACTGCTACAGGGTGGACTTGATTCCAACATACCGTTTTTCTACCATATTTTAATACATACCCATCTTTTCTCCACACCTCAAAGACCCTTAATTCCCAAGCATTTATTTATCTATTTCCATTTTGAACATCCCAGTTGCATTTTATATATCCACAACAACCCTCTGAGTAAAGAAACGTTTCTTGTTCTCGCCTCTAACTGTCTAGCTCTAAGATGAAGCTTAGGTCCCCTTGTTTTAAATCCCTCTATCAGAATAGAAGATGGTACGGTATGGTAGAAGAGTCTCGATCTACCATAATTTGTGGCAAATTATTGGAAATTTATCATAATAATGGGCAGAGTTGGAATGTACTGATTGGAAAAATAGTATTATGAATGAGGTTAATATGATTTTTGACTACTGCATTTTTTTTCTTGAATCAATATACTTGACCATGTTATTTGCAGCATAGATATGCTGACACTTAAAGGCTCACTTAAAAACACTGTATCTGTCTTACATGGGATTTCCAACTTTATCCTACCTTATCCTACTTTCATATTTAATTCTGCCGTAGACAGTTAATTATGCGAGCACAGATGCAAATAAGAAAAAAATTGATCTCAACGAATCTGACCCTCCCATCTTCAGTACTAGCACCTGTTGTTAGTTCAATTGCCATTTAAAACCAAGACTGAGCAATGGGAAACATCTGAAGTATAAGAATGAGCCTTCAGCACATTGCCTGACCCCTCTGCTTCACCAGATAGTACATCCGAACCTCTGAAACTCACTGCTTCCTCTACCTTCTTCCTCTTTGCCTGCCTTCAGATCACACTGAAGACTTTCCTTTTTGACCATGCCTATGGATCACCTCCCCTTTTTTCCCCGGCTCAGTGTTGAACTCTGCCATTGTTCAGCGCTCTGAGAAGCTACACGAGGCCACTATATAAATGCTAGTTGTTGGTGTTGAGCTGTTCCTCTAAAAAAAAGGTTTGTTTAAAAATCAATGTTTTAAGTTTAAGGTGGATATCTCTGCTCAGTGATTTGGTGGCAAATGGGTAATTTCTGTAGACCAAGACATTTAAAATCTTGGAGGCAGGGCTTTCATTAATCAGTCTTTAAGTGCAGGAGTTGTTAAACACATTGGGCTTATGGTTCATTCAAAACTCTTGGGATGGATCTTGGTGTTCTGCTCACTATTGAAAGAGAGGCAGAACAGAGGTAAAACCAACCTTTCTGTTTCACATCAGTATACTGCCCATATCTCATGTTGGTTCCATTCAATAACTGTATTGATTCGTGTGGCGGTAAGACATAAAGATTAAGAAATCTCCTTGTTTGATCCATGGTCTCTAGTAAGGTAGTGACTCTCAGCTAATGGAAACAGTGTGAGAGAGGGGGAAAGGGAGGAATGCTACGGTTGACCTCAGTGCCTTCAACAACAACAGCTTGCACTTATATAGCGCCCTCCACGCAGGTAGCGTCTCAATGGCGGAGCCTGATTCCGAGCTGGGGGTGGGGGAAGGTGGCCGTAAGCACAGTCGAAGAGGAAGGTTTTCAGACGGGACATGAAAAAGGGGAGAGAGGAGGCAAGGTGGAGGGATTGAGAGAGTGCTCAAGTGTTTCGGGGGGTAGTAGCTGAAAGTTCAACCTCCGATGATATGATGGGGCGGAGGGTGCGAGGGACGAGCAGGAGGCCGGTGCCAGTCGAGTGGTGGAGGCGCCGAGTGGTGGATTGGGAAGTGAGGAGGTTGAAGAGGTAGGGAGGTGCCAGCGAGTGAAGGGACTTGAACACAAGTGTGAGGATCTTGAAGCCGATCCATTCAGTGAAGGGGAGCTAGTGGAGCCTGGGCCAGAACTGGTGAGATGGGGGTACAGAGTTTGGTCCGGGTAAGTATGTGGGCGGCAGAGTTCTGAATGAGCTGGATCTTTTGAATAGTGCAGCTGGGGAGACCGGTGAGGAGTGCATTTGAGTAATCCAAGCAGAAGGTGACAAACACATGCACGAGACAAACGCATGCACAAGCTGAGAAAAGCATAATAATGCAACGTAATTCACATTACTATCCAACAATGCCTAATGTATATCATGTCTGTGCATGTGAGACGTTTGCAGAACGAAGTGTAGCGCTCCCATTATTTTCCAGGGTCAACTTTTGTTGCTGACTGCAAGCAGCTTGAGTTCACTGCACTTTGTCTCTGTACCAGGTTAGAAAGAGGAAAGAGTTTGAGTTTCTGATAGTTATATCCTGATAGGAGTGTATGTTGTACCATGGGCAGCTCTACAGTTGGCCTTTGGGACCTTGTGTGGGCAGATGGCAGGGGGAAGATGAGGAGAAACCTCGACCGTATAATATTAATATAATATTTGCTGTATTCCATTTTATACTCTTACATAATACACTTTAATCACAAATGTTTGTAAAATGACACATTTGACTTACAAATGCTAAAACTCTCTTGTAACATTGGGGTTGTCTATGACTCTAATAATATTAATAATAATAATCCTTGCATTTGATATAGCGCTTTTCACGTCGGGAGGACATCCCAAAGCACTTCACAGAACACACTGTAAAGTGAATTGACTGTGTATTTGTGGGCGAACGCGGCAGCCAATTGCGCACAGCAATGTCCCACAAACAGTCGTAGATTGAAAATAACCAATTTATTATTGTTTTGGGTTTTGGAGGGATTATTATTAGGCGTGTGGAGTAAGGAAACTTGCCCAAGGTTTCGCCCTCTGCCTGGAATTGAACTCAGGTCTCTCGCTTGCAAAGCGAGTGCTCTAACCGCTGAGCTACAGGACTCCACAAATCTGGACTCTGGATGATTATGTAAATCACAGCATGTATAAAATATAAAATGGGCTTCAATGCTACACATGTTTAATCACAAATATGATTAAAATTTAACTAATTCTACCATTCTGCCACTCAATTCTTGGTTTAACTGCTGGGTGTTAATGCACAATCCCTGCAATTCATTAACAATGTTAAGTGGGACTTGGGCATATTGCCCTTGGTAAATTTTATGCACAATACATTTGCCATAGATAAGTATTGTATAAGTACGTATAAGGACAGGGGCATAATCAAATGGTTTTGATTCAATACTCTGAATGCCCTTAGCAGATCTGAGTGTGTATGTGCGTGTGTGTGTTTACATCAACACTCAGGTGAGCTGCACCGCACGCAGTTATGCTGATACAATACAGGTCACAAGAACACTACTTTTTATGAAACCAGAATGACAAAAAATGGTTGTGAGACATTTTATTAATTATTGGAGGATAAAACTTACTGCGATGTTCTCTTTTAAAAGTTAGTGTGCTACATTAGAAGTCATTTGTGTCCCTACAGGAAGGCAAAATCTGAGGCAGCTTTCACCCAAGATCCTCTCAACTGATGACAGTGTGTAGTGTAAAAACACCATAGAAAATCCATTCGCCTACAAATACAGGCACTACACTTTACAGTAAATCTTGTGAAATACTTTGAGACATCCTCCCCACAAGAAAGGCGCTACATCAAATGCAAGGATTCTAATAGGGAGAAAACATCAACCTGCTCGCGTATCCTCAAATACTGTAATTTGGGCTGCAGATTAGTCATAGCAGAAAAAGTGTAATGGATACCGCAATTTTATTCCATTTATCCAGGCCAAAACTGATGTCCGTACAATTCCCACATAAACCTTAAGCCAGCACATGGCAAGATTTCCTCATAAATTTGTGACATTCACTAAATTTACTGTGGTTTTAGACAAAATATGCCATGCCCTAATGGAAATATAGCTCTACAATGGAAATATAGCTCCATGCACTACTTATTTGCTTTAAATTATGTATAGCATTTTTAAAAATCACCCAGTGAGATGACCACTTCTCTGAATTATCTAAACTTGAGAGAATGCAAAAAAATGGACCACAGTAATTCAGTTTCAGAGATGTGTGCCCAGGAACTGAAACTGACAGAAAATGTTTGCTGAGTACGACTGGTTCAGTACGAAATGTCAGGTTAACTCTGAGTATGAAAGCAAATAAAGTTAATTCAGTGGCATGTTGCCCCCAGATTGAATAGCTGGAACAAGCGGGTTTATGAAAGCTTTATGTTCATTCTGTACACAAATTGAATTCCTTCGTAAGTTGCTAGGCTAGTAAAAATCTGTATCAAGTACTGAGATAAATTAGCATGTAAAGTGGTCCCATTATACTTAGGCCTGTAGCCACCAAGTTTGAATATGGGAATGAAATTCATTACTTAGCTTGTAATAGTGTTATTTTCAAATTCCATTTTGCTATCTAAGTTCTTTATGACCTGCATATAAATGATGGGAATGCACGTGGTCCTTGTCCACTAGATTTTCTATGACTGACAAGGTTTTTTTTCATTCCTTTTAGGATTACTGATTTGGGGAGTATCAAGCGCCGACTATATTTATCAACTATACACAAAGAGCTGACTGCAACCCCACTGCATGCGAAAATTCCGCTCTCTATTATCAAACGTAAAATCGTAAGTCACTTTTGTCAAGAATTACAAGCTTGTCCGTTCTTTCTGATTGATCAGGAAGATAACCCCTCGCAGTTTACATTGTTTCCAGTTTTGAAATGAGTTGCGTCTGTTTGACGCAATGTCACAACTTTGGCCTGCTTGATTTATTATTATAATAATATTCGTCATACTTGCATTTGCTATGGAGCATTATCATGTAGTCAAGATGTCTCAAAGCGCTTCACAGGATATATTGTAAAGTGGGTTGATAGTATATTTTGTGGGCGAAATGTGGCTGCCAGTTGGCCCATGTCCCACAATCAGTCATGGAGTGAACCAATTTTTTTTATTTGGAGGGACTGGTTGGCCAGGACACCGGGAGAAACTCCCTTCTCTTTTCAAATAGTGTCATGTGATCTTTAACATCCATCAGAATAGGCAGATGGGACTTCGGTTTAATGTCTCATCCAAGGCTCGTTACCTCTGGCAATGCAACATATATCCAGCAGTGTCAGCTTAGACAATGTGATTCCAAGTCCCGACTTGGGACTTCTAGAATTTCAAACTTGCTGTCTTCCCAACATAGCATCAAGTTATTTCTTAAATGAGTCCAGTGTCCTGCCCTTTGCCGCCCTCTCTGGTAACATTTTGATTAATAATAAATAATAATCCTTGCATTTGATATAGCGCTTTTCACGTCGGGAGGACGTCCCAAAGCGCTTCACAGAACACACTGTAAAGTGAATTGACTGTATATTTGTGGGCAAACACGGCAGCCAATTGCGCACAGCAATGTCCCACAAACAGTCATAGATTGAAAATGACTAATTTATTATTGTTTTGGGTTTTGGAGGGATTATTATTAGGTGTGTGGAGTAAGGAAACTTGCCCAAGGTTTCGCTCTGCCTGGAATTGAACTCAGGTCTCTCACTTGCAAAGCGAGTGCTCTAACCACTGAGCTACAGGACTCCACTGTCCACTGTGTAAAGAAATACTTACTTGAAATAAATATTTTAGGTGTCTGTCCTACTACAACAACAACAAGATTACATTTGTATAGCACCTTTCACGTCGGGAGGAGGTCCCAAGGCGCTGGACAGAGTACAGCATTTCAGACCCGAGCTGGGGTTGGGTTGTAGGGGAGGGGAAGGGGGGTGGCCGATGGCATGGTCGAAGAGGAGGGTCTTGAGGCGGGACTTGAAGGAGGCTAAGGCTACAAATAGCGTATCTGAACTAACTTTTGTCTTCATGAAGTTATATTTAAAATTGTTCACTTCTGAAGAGAAATGCACATAAACAAAAATTTTAGTCAACAAGTGGAAAAAATCCTTCAAAGGGTTCTTCTCGCCCGACCATTTCATTTCAGACGAAAGATCCTATGTGAAAAACTCACCCCGAACAGATTTTAAATGACTTGCTGCAAGTTTATAGTATTTTCTGTTATTATTTCCATGTTATGCTTTCCTTCAAGCTCTGAAGAACTAAATTTTCTTTTGTTATAGTGGATCAATTTTTGCATTGACTTGGTGTCATTTACCCATGAAGCATTTAAAGGAGCAACATTTCAGTCCTTGGATGGCATTGTCGTCACAGCCAACTGCAAATTACGGAAAATTTTCACAATGAAACTACAACCAAATGATACGACTTATGAAGATGGTATGTGCTTGCCCATGTTTATATCTAAACAGTTCAAAGTAAGACTGACCTTCAAAAGAATCTTCCTTCATGGCAAGGTTACCAGGCCACTAACGTTTCTATCATAGCATTTCAGCAGTAAATCCTTTTCAGTATCAGCTACTAACATTTTCAGCTGTTATATTTACAATACAATTTGAACAGACTGTACCCTACATTTTTNGTGCTGACTGCTTACAGAGGATTGTATTTATACCACCAGGCCAGACACCTCCATTAGCTAGGCAATGTGCTGAGGGGAAATGATCCTCCTAGGTCTAGACATAGATATTTATCTTTGCATTTCAGAACTTGCAAATTTTGCACGTTTCTTAATTCAATCTTAATATTGAAGTCTGCTACTTAAGCGCTCCGAGATGGAGGGCGGGGTGAAGGGCACTATAAAAATGCAAGTTGTGACTGCCAGGAAGGTGGAAGGCAAACTATATGGACCTTGTTTTTTTTTGTCTAGCATTTCTTATGTTGTTGTTGTTGTAGTCCGTTTTCTATAGGTCTATAGGCGAGTGAGGGGAAGGAATTTGTAATATAACTCAATCCTAAAGAAGTATGTGTTATTAAGCTTCTATATTTGTCAATCCAAACACTCCAAAATCCACCATTCTAAACCACACTCTTTGTCCCATGCCCTTTGTACTTCTTGCCCTTCTTCGTATTGGCCCTTCTGTTAATTGTCAATTTATCCTTAAAAGAGTATCCTGTAGAACTGTCATAATCTCAGTGAAATGTGCATATAGGACTGTAAAAAGCATTCAACTTACATTTTGGGGGAGTTGCTCGAGCGCAGATGGCACAAAACTGGCCTCATGGTTCACCGCCAGCTGTGGCTCGAGCATCTTCACACCAACCGCCGCTCACCGCCGAAGCCAAAACTGCATTCTACTCGCAGGTCATTCTGGAGGCCAAAAACAACTCCAAGATTCTATTCTGCACCACTCACCACTTCCTCCGAGCACCCTATCAAACACCCTCAATACTAAAATTAAATGCCAAACGCGAAGAGGTCTTGGCTTTCTTTATCTCCTTATAGATAACATCCACCTGGTTGCCTCGTCCTCCTGCCCCATGTCCCCCACCACTTTCTCCGTTACCCTCTCCTCCTCCCACGACTCCTACCACAAGCCCCAACCTACACTCCTTTGCCTCCATTTCTCCTTCCTCCCTTTCATCCTCCATCACCCAAGATGAAACCCACCACCTGCTACCTCGACCATCTCCCCACCCAACTGCTGGTCACTCAACTGCCCTTCTTCTGCCCAGACACCATAACTCAATCCCTCTCTTCAGGCTCAGTCCCACTCCCCCTCAAAACAGCTGTCAGCACTCTCCTCCTTAAAAAAAACTACTCTCGATCCCTTCAATCTTGCGCACTATCGTCCCATTTCATACTTGCCATTCCTGGCTAAAACTCTGGAATGAATTGCTACAAACCAACTTCGCTCACATCTCGCCCTCCACTCCCTACTGGAACCTCTCTAGCCTAGTTTCCACCCAGCCCGCAGCACGGAGAGAGCGCTCATCAAAGTAACAAATGACGTCCTCTCTCCCAGTGAGCAAGTCTCCCTCTGCTCCCTTGTCCTTCTGGACCTCTCCGCTGCGTTTGACACAGTCGACCATGCCATCTTTCTCCACCGGCTCTCCTCCCTCCTTATCCAACTTGACCAAACACCAGCACTTCATTTCAGCCAATGGTTTTTCTTCTCACCCTCAACCGGGTCTATGGAGTACCTCAAGGCTCCATTCTTGGCCCCTTCCTCTTCCTTATCCACATGCTCCCTCTCAGCAATGTCATCTGCAGACACAAGGTAAACTTCCACATGAATGTGGATGACACACAAATTTACTTCTCTTCCTCCAGCTGCGACTCCAACTCCGCTGATGTTCTGTCAGCTTGTCTGATGGACATCAAGGCCTGGATGAGTGCAAACTTCCTGCCGCTGAACGTTGACAAGACAGAAGCCATACTCTTTGGCTCCGTCAACGTCTTCTCTCCTGCGCTTCAGATCTTCTCACCCTCACCGATTTCCTCACCCTCCCCGACCTCCTCTGACCTCCTCTCCCTTCCAATCTCTCCCCGAGACTGATCGACCCCGTCTCCAGCTATCCTTCATAATCCACACCCGGTCCCTGACCAGGATCTGCACATTCGCTTCCACCTCCACCACATTGTTTGGCCAGCACCATTTTCCTCCACCTCTGCCAAATTGCCCGCCTCGGTCCATATCTCACTCCAAAAGCTGCCGAAACCCTTGTCCACGGCTTCGGCACTTCCCTCTTCAACTACTCAAACGCTTTACTCGCTGTTTTCCCCTGCTCCACTATTCACAAAATTCAACTAATTCAAAACTCCGCCGCCCACATTCTCACCCGCACTAAACTCTGTACCTCCATTACTCCAGTCCTTGTCCAACTCCATTGGCTCCCTGTCACAGCCCTGACACCCCCTTATCTATCCAACCTGCTCTCTCGTTACACCACTACTCGCTGCCTCAGCTCGACTGGCTCCAGCCTCCTCCTAGTCCCCTAGACCCTCTGCCCCACCATCGGCAGGCGTGCTTTCAGCCTCTACGCTCCAAAGCTATGGAACTCTCTCCCTCAATCCCTTTGTCTTGCCCCCTCCCTATTTTCAGGTTGGGCTTGAAGACCCTCCTCTTTGACCATGCCTACGGTCACCCTCATCCTGGCTCGGCATCGGGCTTCACCACTGTTAAGTGCTCCGAGACACTGTCCAGGGTGAAGGGTGCTATATAAATGCAAGTTGTTGTTGTTGGATTGTGGTTGAATTATTTTCCAGTGTATATTGTCCTTTCAGATATTTAAAATTGCTATATTTTGATACATCATGATGGTTTCTCTTAAATTTCTCCTGCTTTTTTTTGCCTCTTCACAGACATGATTAATTTCCCTTGCTTTACTGATGGACCCACAGATATGATTCCTAAGAGCTGTCAATTAGGCGTTGATGTGAATCAAGTTACACAACTCCTGAATGTGTTCATACTCAAGCAAGCAGAATTAAGAATTGGCAGCCAATCTTTCAGCTCAACAGATTTAGGTATGCTCATAATTTAAGATCAATATAAAATGTGAAGGTTTGGGTTTTGCTTAGAATTTTCCACATGCCATTTAGGAGTTGAAAGCAAACCATAGCAGGTAGCAAAATATCTAGTTCATCACACACAGTTTATTTTTGCTTTTAGTATGATCTCTTGGTGTCAGTTAAGTACTATATTTTTCTTGTGTATATTAGTTATATTGATGCTAAAAAATCTTATTCCTGGAATCGTATTTATTATTTGAAGTCAAACTGTTCAGGTTTAAGCTGTTTACTTCTACACAACCTGTTAAAAATTTCAAGTGTATTATGACTGACGAACATTTTTATTGGATTCTTTTTCAATTTTATTAATCTCTTCTTTGACTGGTTCTTCCAGGCACAATTCTTATTATATCTTGATAAACATTTGTAATGTTGATTTTTGAGGTGAATGATGTATGATGAGAACCTTGCTTAAACCTCCCTTAAAAACTGTCACCATCACTCCCACCCTGAAAAAACCCTCCCTTGATGCGTCGCAGCTATCAAGCTACCGGCCCATCTCCAACCTCCCCTTTCTCTCCAAGGTCCTGGAAAGAGTTGTCGCCTCCCAACTGCGCTCTTTCCTTTCCACCCATTCTCTTTTCGAACCCCTTCAGTCAGGTTTCCGTGCTGCCCATAGCACAGAAACTGCCCTGGTCAAGGTCACCAATGATATCCTGACCATCTGTGACCAGGGCTCCCTCTGCCTCCTCGTCCTCCTCGACCTATCGGCAGCATTCGATACGGTCGACAACGCTATCCTACTCCACCGCTTGTCCTCCCACCTCAACCTTCAAGGCACTGTCCTTGAGTGGTTTAGGTCGTACCTTTCTCACCGTCTTCACTTTGTCTCGACGAATGGCTTCTCCTCCACCCCCCGTACTGTCTCATGTGGAGTCCCTCAGGGCTCTGCCTCGGTCCCCTCCTCTTCACCCTCTATATGCTCCCCCTTGGTGACATCATCCGCAGACATGGAGTTAACTTCCACATGTATGCGGATGACACCCAACTCTACCTTTCCTCCTCTACTCTCAACTCCACGACCACCGATGTCCTGACAGTCTGCCTGTCCGACATCGAGTCCTGGACGAGAGACAACTTTCTTCAGCTCAACGTGCGAAAAACCGAGGCCCTCCTGATTGGCTCACGTCAGCGCCTCCGCACCTCAGGCGCCGACACCATCAGCATCCAAGGCTGCACTCTCCACCTCTCAAAGCCAGTCAGGAACCTCGGCGTTTTATTCGACCCTGAGCTGTCCTTTCTCCCTCACATCCGCACCACACCTGGCACCGCCTTCCATCACCTCCGGAACATCGCCAGACTACGCCATTACCTCACCCCTCACGCTGCTGAAACCCTGGTTCACGCCTTTGTCACCTCAAGGCTGGACTATGGGAACTCTCTCCTCGCCGACCTTCCCGCCACCTCCCTCCACAAGCTGCAGGTCATCCAGAACTCTGCAGCTCGTGTACTGTCCCGCACCCGGCTTCGGGACCACATCACTCCCACCCTCGCTCGCCTCCACTGGCTCCCCATCCCCCAGAGGATTGATTTCAAGATCCTCATCCTCACATACAAGGCCATTCACGGCCTTGCTCCCTCCTACCTCTCCAACCTACTATCCCCCTACCTACCTGCCCGTACCCTCCGTTCCTCCGGCTCCGGTCTGCTCCACGTCCCCCGCCCCAATCGCCCTACCATTGGTGGTCGGGCCTTCTGCCTCTCAGCCCCGAGGCTCTGGAACTCTATCCCCCAGTGCCTTCGCCGCTTCCTCCCTTTCCTCCTTCAAGGCCGGTCTCAAAACCTTTCTCTTTGACCATGCCTTCAGCTCCCCTCTCGACTCTCTTCCCCCTTCTCGCTCCCTCCCATCCCTCCCCTCACCCTGACCATTTCCCCCTCCTCGCTCCCTCCCCTCCCCTCACCCTGACCATTTCCCCCCTGCTCGGGTCATGACCCAACTGTGCAGCGCCTTGGGACGTCCTCCTGACGTGAAAGGCGCTTTATAAATGGAATCTTGTTGTTGTTGTTGCTATTGCTGTACGTCTGCCAAATTTGAGTATCAATTCATTGCTACAAGACCATTGATAATGATATAAAATTCTTGCTGATTACATCTTGATTTAGAATTTTGTATTTTGTATGCAGATGGTAGGAAATCCATTTGTCTTTTTTTTGTTGGCATTCAAACAGAGTTTTCTTATTTTTGCTCCTACTGTCTCACCTTGGAACTTTATCCTCTCTCATATAAACCAGGATAAATATACTGTTTCTATCTTTTAACTTTTTTTCAAAAACATTTTCCATGTTCACTCTTCAAACTCTCCGCAATATCCTTTAAATTGTGTTGGAAAGAAAAAACACTCAGTTAAAATGAGATGCGAATGATTAAGATAAATTTAAAATCATAGAATCATTGAATTATACAGTACAGAAGGAGGCCATTCAGCCCATCGTGTCTGTGCCGGCTCTTTGAAGAGAGCTACTCAATTCAATCCCACTACCTCGCTCTCTCCCCAATAGCCCTGCAAACTTGTCCTCCCCAAATAATTATCTACTTCTCTCTTAAAAGTTGTCATTGAATTGGCTTCCACCACCCTTTTAGGAAATGCATTCCAGATCCGAACAACTCACTGTGTGAAAACATTTCTCCTCACCTCCCCCTCTGTTTCTTCTAAAAATTATTTTAACATTTTTTACTCTATTTACCGATCCACCCGCCAGTGGAAATAGTTTAAGAACATAAGAACATAAGAATTAGGAGCAGGAGTAGGCCATTCGGCCCCTCGAGCCTACCCCACCATTCAATAAGATCATGGCTGATCTTCAGACCTAACTCTAATTACCTGCCCTATCCCCATATCCCGTAATCCCTCTATTTTTTAAAAATCTATCAGTCTCAGCCTTGAAGATGTTCAAAGACTGAGCATCTACAGCCTTCTGGGGTAGTGAATTCCATAAATTCACTACCCTCTGAGTGAAGAAATGTTTCCTCAACTCTGTTCTAAAAGGCTGACCCTTAATTTTAAGACTGTGACCCCAGGTTATAGATTCTCCTACCAGGGGAAACAGACCCTCAGTGTCTACTTTATCCAGCCCTTTAAGAATCTTATATGTTTCAATAAGATCTCCCCTAATTCTTCTGTACTCTAGAGAATTTAGCCCTAGTTTATTCAGACTATCCTCATAGGTCAGTCCCCTCATCCCAGGAACTAACCGAGTGAATCTACGCTGCACCCCCTCTAGGGCAAGTATATCCTTTTTTAATTAAGGAGACCAAAACTGCACACAATACTCTAGGTGCGGTCTCACCAAAGCCCTATACAGTTGCAGCAAGACTTCCCTACTCTTGTACTCTAAGCCTTTTGCAATGAACGCTAACACGCCGTTCGCCTTCTTAGTTGCTTGCTGCACCTGCAAACTAACTTTTTGAGACTGGTGTACAAGGACACCCAAATCCCTCTGCACACTAACACTATCTAATCTCTTCCCCTCTAGAAAATAATCTGTTTTTCTATTTTTTCTACCTAGGTGAATAACTTCACACCTTAAATTCCTTAAATTTAAATTCCTTCACACCTTAAATTCCATCTGCCACCTACTCGCCCATTCCCCTACCCTATCTATATCCCGTTGCAATCTTTTTGCATCATCCTCAGAGCTTACTCTCCCACCTAGTTTAGTGTCATCCACAAATTTAGATACGTTACATTCAATGTCCTCGTCTAGATCATTGATGTAAATTGTAAATAGTTGAGGCCCAAGCACTGATCCTTGTGGCACTCCACTAGTCACATCCTGCCAATTCGAAAATGACCCGTTTACCCTACTCTCTGTTTTCTACCCGTTAACTACTCTTCAATCCATGCTAATATGTTCCCATTAATCTCATGGGCCTTAACCTTGTGCAATAGCCTTTTGTGTGGCACTTTGTCAAATGCCTTTTTAAAATCTAAATATACTACATCTACTGGTTCCCCCCTATCTAACCTGCTAGATACATCTTCAAAAAACTCTTAAAAGATCAGTTAAGCATGACTTCCCTTTTGTAAAGCCATGTTGACTCTGCCTAATCTTGTTATGGTCTTCCAGGAATCCCATAACGACATCTTTAATTAAGGACTCAAATAATAATAATCCTTGCATTTGATATAGCACTTTTCACGTCGGGAGGACGTCCCAAAGCGCTTCACAGAATAGACTGTAAAGTGAATTGACTGTATGTTTGTGGGCGAACGCGGTAGCCAATTGCGCACAGCAATGTCCCACAAACAGTCGTAGATTGAAAATGACCAATTTATTATTGTTTTGTTTTGGAGGGATTATTATTAGGCTCTGTGTGGAGTAAGGAAACTTGCCCAAGGTTTCGCCCTCTGCCTGGAATTGAACTCAGGTCTCTCGCTTGCAAAGCGAGTGCTCTAACCACTGAGCTACAGCACTCCACAGACTCAAGAATTTTCCCTACCACTGTTGTCAGACTAACTGGTCTATAGTTTCCCATCTTTTCTCTTCCACCCTTCTTAAATAATAGTGCTATGTTTGCAATCTTCCAATCAATGGATTATTATTATTATTATTATTATTAATGGGAACCGTTCCAGAATCCAGAGAATTTTCGAAGATCAAAGACAAACCATCCATTATCTCAGTAGCCACCTCTTTTAAAACCCTAGGATGTAGGCCAGGGGATTTATCAGTTTTAAGACCTGACAATTTACCTAAAACCATTTCTTTACTAATATTAATTTCCCCAAGTTGCCTTCTTGTCTTCTTGTCTTCTTGGTTCCCCTCTATTCTTGGTAGGTTTTCAGTATCTTCTAAGGTGAAGACAGTAGCAAAGTACTTGTTTAATGCCATGTCTTTGTCCCCTACTATAATTCCCCCCGTCTCTGCCTGTAGCGGACCCACATTTACCTTTGACAGCCTCTTCCTCTTTATATATTTATAAAAACTCTTGCAGTCTGTCTTTATGTTCTTCA